GCTTGTTCGCGATCTTGATGGCGCTCTGGTTGTCGTAGTGAATGCAAAAGGTAGGTGAAGTTGGAATTTTCGCTTCTTGCAGAAGCTCCTGCAGGTACAGACCTTCGCGAACTGCTGCTGTCGCGGCGATGTATTCTGCTTTGGTCGATGACAAGGCAACCAGTTCCTGCTTCTGTGAGTTCCAGGAGATTGGTCCCGTTGGCTCCAAGTGGAGAACAAAGCCGGTTCGTGACTGTCGATTCGCAGGGTCAGCGACATGATTTGCGTTGACGTAGCCGTTGAGGTTGAAGGAGGTTGTCGTCAGCGTGGAGTAGGAGAGCCCGATGTCAGGTGTGGAGATGAAGTACTGCAGGGCGCGCTCCAAGTCCAGCTGGTTCTCGGCTATTGGCTTGCGGGAGTATTGTGCCACTTGGCTGGCGATGTATGAAAGGTCGGGTCGGCATGTGACAGAGGTGAACAATAGTCAGCCCAGTTGCTGCTGGTACAGTTGGAGTCCTGCGGGCGATAGAGGTTTGTTATCCGGTTTGTAGCTGGCGCTGGGGTTGCGGTAAGGAGTGGAGAGTGGTGCGGGAGAAGTGTTGAAGCGTTCCCCCAGGTGCTATGCGTACTTGGAGGCTGACAGATACATTGCTTCTGGCACGTAGGTGATGTTCAGCCCCAAAAACTATGTGACGTTGTGGTTGATGGTGATGTCCACGCACTACGCCAGGTTCTCCTCGAACTGGTTAAGGAGTTTGTTGCAGGTGCCGGTGCAAAGCAGGTCGTCGACGTAGACAGTTAGGAGGATGTAATCGTCATTGAAGTGGAGGCGGTACATTCCCGGGTGGTACGGCAGCTGCCTGAAGCCGGGAATGTACCGCCCAGGGACCCCAGGTTCCAGGAGGATTTTGTGCAGGTGCTGCTGCCAGAGACGTGACACCTGTTTTATCCCGTAAAGGGATTTCTTCAACTGACAAACCCTAGGGTGTCCTTCCCTGTAGGTGTGCAGTTGTTCCACGAAGATGGTTGCATCCACCAACGTGTACAAAAACGCGTTCTTGACGTTGATCTGTCATAGTGGCGGCACCAATGGCGAGTAGAATTCTGACGGAGGTATGACGACTGATGGGAGCGAAGGTTTGGTCGAAATCAATGCCGTGACGCTGGTCGTACCTGCGTACGACCCAATGTGCTTTGAAGCGCTCGATGGTACCGCCAACGTTGGTTTTTTGGCAAAAAAAAAAAAAAAAAAAAAAAAAAACCATTTTTCGCTTAGCACCCTCCTCCCCTTCACTGCTGCACGATCGACTAGGACCCATGTATCACATGATTCCAGCGCCATTAGCTCTGCATCCATTGTAGCACGCCACTCCTTAGCGTGAGGACCGGTTAGGGCCAAGCGCGGATTCTTAGGCTCGACGGCACGCGTGAGAATAGTGACAGACGCGTGAAGGCCGAGAAGTTGTAGGCCGGACACATTGGTGGTGTCTGCAGTGTCTGTGATGGGGACTTCCACCACATCGTCATCATCACTCTCGTGCCCAGATAAGGGGGATCTTGGCTCAGGTTGGCGCCTTGATGGTCCAGGCGCGGGAGTGTCGTCGCTATCGTCATCGTTGCGCGTGCGAGGCGGTACGCTGGGATGTTCATCGGCGGGGTCGTGGTCAAGTGCGGCTGCTGCTACTTCGTCTTCTGGAGATGCAAAGCTGCAGCCGCTGTTGACCTAGGCGCGGGCGACGTTGCGGCCTTTGTCCTCGATCCACTGCTACAAGGTGAGGTTCATAGAAAAGGATGTTGCGCGCAGGGAAGATCTGGATGGTGTTGATGTCGAGGATTAGCCAGCCCTGATACTCGTGACTGAGTCCCAGGTGGACTCCCCATCCGTTGAGTGAATTTGCCAATGGCGGCCGAAGTCGGTCGATACTGCACCACACATCCCCAAACCCTCAGCATGGAGGTTTCTCCCCTCGAGCTGGTCCATTTCATGTGTGGAGAGAGGTTACCCCTATTGGCCATGGTGGAGAGGAGGTTGTGCAGGCGCACGGCGTAGTTCATGGCATACGGCCAATACTTCTTGGGTAGGCCGGACTGGGTTCATGAGGGCGCGCACTTTTGTCATGAGAGTGCGATTGACCCTCTCTGTGATGCCTTGCTGCGGGTGAGCATATGGAAGTGAGATCTGATGCTTGATCCCCTTCTCTGCGACAACACTTTCCAGTTCGTGGCTCCAAAACTCCTTGGCGCCGTCAGCCTGCCAAATTTTCAGTTTAGTTCCCGATCTGCGTTGCGCGTGTGCAAGCCAGGTGCGGAAGATCTCAGGAGCTTTGGGCCGAACGTCGACGTTGGCGATCCAGACGTAGCATGAGTACGCGTCCACGAAGGTGTGTGTGTATCGTTCGCCATTTATGCCGTCGAAGGTGAGCACGATGAAATCGCTGTAGACTTTTTGCAGCTTTTTGTAACAGTTGGTGCTTGGCTCCAGGGAGGGGTAGGCTTGGTGTGTGAGAGCTGCAGTGGGGCAGACGATACAGGTAGTTGGGTGTGTTGTGCTGAGGGGTTCCGTGTCATCAGGGCGCAGCAGTGCTCCTGGCAGGAAAACTTTAGCGCGGAGGCAGTTGTTGAACGTCTGGCGCGAGGGGTGACCGAGTCGCTAGTGCCAGAGGTCTTCGTCTGCGCGAATTCCCTAGGTGCGCAAGTAGCGTGCGTGATGCTCCGCCGCTTTTGTTTCTGTCTCGTGAGGGATCAGAAGTACTGGTCCTTGTTCTTCTCCTGGTTGTGCTTCGTTGTCCGGCTCCTCTGCTTCTGCTTCTTCTTTTGCTTCTGCTGCTAGCTCCCCTTCTGAAGGTGCCGCTGTAAGGTAGTGCGAGAGGAAGTTGCGATCGGGGATAATGTTAAGAGGGGTCCTAGTGCCTTCAATGAAGCAGGCGTACAGATCTGGGCGGGAGATTGGTCCAAGTGAGTCAAGGGGTGGAGTTGTTGGCACGTTCCTCCCCTCAATCTCCGACTAAGGATCCTCCCAGCGATGAGGTGAGCGGGGTTGTCATGGGAGTTGGCGGGATCGGCGTCCAAGTGGGATGGCGACTCGTGGGGTAGGTTGCTCAGCTGTTACTTCTTTCTCGGCTTCCTCTATCTCTTCTCGGGTAAGCTCGCCTTTGGTGAGTTGGCGGTGCTCTGGTTCTCCCCATCCATGAGCGGTGCCAGATGCCCTAGTGGCGGATCCCCATGTTGCGCCTGTGGTGCCGCCGTTGTCATCATCACCCCAGCCACTACGTCGTGCAGATTCTTCGTCCCATCCTGCCGCGATGCGCTCCTGGTACAGATGTTCCCTTCTTTCAACTGCTGCATTTTCTTCTTCTTCCTTGACGCTGAGTTCTTCAGGCTTATCAGGGTCTTTCCACTCCGTGTCGATTTGGCGGTAGACCTCTCCGGGATAAGGGCAAGGTCGATTTTCTTCGTCGAAGGTTCCGGTGGTTGCTTCCAGAACCCAGCGGAGTGTGTCTGAGGCAGGCGTGGATCATTCCTCTTGCTGTATTCCGAGGGTTTCGTCTCCTGTGCCAAAGATGCGGTGAGTTGAAACAGCCAGCTCCATTTCCGTCATGCCTTTGGTTTCTGCCTCGGCACTTTCTGCCTCCTGAATTGCCGCAAGGTCTCGCTCCACCTCCTCTGTGCGACTTGCTGTAGGTGTGAAACAGGTTGTGCAGAGTCCGTCGTGGCCGACTTGGTGCAGATTTATCTCACGAGGGTGGGGACTGTGGCGGATCCACGGCCGTCCGTCTGGATGCTGCCATGACTCCTTGTCCATGAACGGGAAGTCCAAGGGGACGAGGTCAACAAGCTTGTCTAATGAGGCCTGGCAGCTTGATATGTCGAAATCCAGTACATAAACGTCGTCCATCGATCGAACTCTTCTGAGGTATTTGTGCGACTCGGGGGGGGGGGGGGGGGGGGGGGGGCATTCGGGGGAGCGTAGGTCAGGATGAGGTTGCGCGTGTATGAGTTTGTGGCGGGCATGAATCCGCAGTCTTTGAGTTGTCCTGTCGATAATAAGTTGAATCGGCGATCTGGTACGTATAGCACGTCGTTGAACGAGATGTGCGTG